GGGACACACCTGAGACACCTGGGCCACACCTGGGCCACACCTGGGGACATACCTGGGTCACCCGGAGCACCTGGGTCACGCCTGGGGACACCTGAGGGGACACCGGGGCCACATGGGACACACCTGGGTCACCTGGTGGGGGCACCTGGGGACACCTGAGGGCACCTGGGTCACACCTGGGTCACGTGGGGGCACCTGCGGACACACCTGGCTCACCTGGGGACACACCTGGGTCACCTGGAGCACCTAGGGTCACCTCGGGGCACCTGGGGACACCTGGGGACACCTGGGGACACCTGAGCAGCAGCACCTGGCCCAGGTGTGGTTTTGGGGTGGATTTTGGGAATTTTGGGTGGATTTTGGGTGGTTTCAGGTGATTTTGGGTGATTTTGGGTGGATTTTGGGGTTTTCAGGTGATTTTGGGTCACCTGGACTCACCTGAGCAGCCACACCTAACCCAGGTGAGTTTGGGGTGGATTTTGGGTGGTTTCAGGTGATTTTGGGTCACCTGGACTCACCGGAGCAGCCACACCTGGCCCAGGTGGGTTTGGGGGGGATTTTGGGTGGATGTTGGGGAATTTTGGGGGGATTTTGGGGTTTTCAGGTGATTTGGGGTCACCTGGGCTCCCCTGAGCAGCCACACCTAACCCAGGTGAGTTTGGGGTGGATTTTGGGTGGTTTCAGGTGATTTTGGGTCACCTGGACTCACCTGAGCAGCAGCACCTGGCCCCGCGCCCCCACGGCCAGGTCGGGCAGGTGATCCCCGCTCAGGTCACGCCCCCCGCTCAGCGATTGGCCGAAAAAATGGGGCTGGGACGGGAACCGGGAGCCCGGGATGCGCTGGACAGGTGAGACAGGTGAGAGACAGGTGAGAGACAGGTGAGACAGGTGAGAGACAGGTGAGACAGGTGAGAGACAGGTGAGAGACAGGTGAGACAGGTGAGTCCCCCCTCCCTCAGGTGAGCTCTCACCTGTCCCAGGTGTCTCCCCAGGTGTCCCAGGTGTGTCCCCAGGTGCCCCAGCCCCCCCTCAGCTGTCCCCAGGTGCCCCCAGGTGCCCCAGCCCCCCTCACCTGCCCCAGGTGTGCCCAGGTGAGGCCTCACCTGCCCCAGGTGTGCCCAAATGCATCCCAGGTGCCCCAGGTGTCTCAAGTTCTCCCCAGGTAGTCCCCGCCCCCCTCACCTGTCCCCAGGTGTGTCCCCAGGTGTCCCCGCCCCCTCACCTGCTCCGCCCGCTCGCTGACCCCGCCAGGTGTGCTCCCGAACAGGTAAACGGCGCCGCGGCCGTCGTCCTCCAGCGGCGCCCCCACGGCCACCTGGGCGCACCTGGCCCCGCCCGCCGGCCGCACCTGCGCCAGGCTGGCCCCGAAACGGCCCAGGGGCTGCCCAGGTGAGCCCCGCAGCGCCAGCGGGCAGCGCAGGTGAGGGCCCTGGGGGGGACAGGTGAGACAGGTGGGACAGGTGAGACAGGTGAGAGACAGGTGAGACAGGTGAGAGACAGGTGAGAGACAGGTGAGAGACAGGTGAGCCCAAGTGGGCCCAGGTGGGCCAGGTGAGATGGAGCAGGTAAGACACAGGTGAGAAACCTGAGGGCCAGGTGAGGCTCTCCAGGTGTTCCTCACCTGCCCAGGTGTGCCTCACCTTCCCCAGGCGTGCCTCACCTGCCCCAGGTGTGCCTCACCTGCCCAGGTGTGCCTCACCTGCCCGAGGTGTGCCTCACCTGTCCAGGTGTGCCTCACCTGTCCGTCCAGCTCGCACAGGTGCACGCGGCCGCCGCTGCCCCCCCCGTAGAACAGGGGCGCCCCCACCAGGAGCCGCACCTGGGGCTCACCTGCCCGGGGGCGGGGCTCACCTGCCTGGGAACCTGAGGGCCAGCTCACCTGCCCCAGGTGTGCCTCACCTTTCCCAGGTGTGCCTCACCTGCCCCAGGTGTGCCTCACCTGTCCAGGTGTGCCTCACCTGTCCGTCCAGCTCGCACAGGTGCACGCAGCCGCCGCTGCCCCCCCCGTAGAACAGGGGCGCCCCCACCAGGAGCCGCACCTGGGGCTCACCTGCCCGGGGGCGGGGCTCACCTGCCTGGGGGCGGGGCTCATCTGGGCAGGGCTCCAGAGCCAGCAGGGACGCCCCGAAATAGGAGCCCACCTGGGGAGGGAGAGACAGGTGAGACCAACAAGTGAGACAGGTGTGACCCCAGGTGTGACCCCCAGGTGTGGCCCCCAGGTGTGACCCCCCTCACCTGTCCCAGGTGTGACCCCCCCAGATGTGACCCCCCCAGGTGTGACCCCCAGGTGTGACCCCCTCACCTGTCTCAGGTGTGACCCCCCCCTTACCTGTCCCAGGTGAGCTCACCTGCGCCCCCGTGGCCTGGGCCAGCGCCTCCCAGGTGCGTCCCTTCCTCAGCAGCAGCACCCTGCCCAGGTGAGCGTACCTGGGCGCGCCCAGGGCCACGCCCAGGCCGCCCCCCAGCGCCACGGGCGTGGCCGCGTAACCTGCCCGCAGGTGAGCTCAGGTGAGTCTGGGGGGGCTCAGGTGAATCTCAGGTGAGTCTGGGGGGTCTCAGGTGAGTCTGGGGGGGTCTCAGGTGAGTCTGGGGGGGCTCAGGTGAGTCTGGGGGGGGCTTAGGTGAGTCAGGGGGGGCTCAGGT